TTGATGAAAATTTCTGAGAACATTTTAATTATTAAGGCAGAGGAAACTTATTATAATGTCATAAAATAAAATTATAGGTTAGTTTTAATGAGTTAAAACAGTTGATTAGAGTTTTTTTTTTTTTTTTTTTTTTTTTTTTTTTTTTTTTTTGTATTATTATTAAAATAAAATGTAGAAAATGAAAACAGTCAAATGAGAATACAAGGACAGTAGCAGGCGGACATGGCGCCTCCATGTCCAAAGAGATGATACGCTGAGATTTTTCTTTGAAGACAAAGCATGAAAACGGAAAAGCGTGGGCTTACTATTTTCGCGTGCAGAAGGAGCTTGTGTGCCCTATTTCAGGTAAGTCAAGATCGCGAAATGCAATTTCCGTAAAACTGCAGAGTTTGTATTTGCATTTCTGATAAAAAAAAAAAAAAAAAAAAAAAAAGACAAACAAACAAACAAAAGACTCTGTTGGTTGTGTGTATTGAAAAGTGGGAATGAGAATAGTGAGATTTGTTTTTTGTTTTTTGTTTTTTGTTTTTTGTTTTTTTTTGTTTTTTTTTACCTCAAACATTCACGTTTATTTGAATATAACTGATCTCCCTATTACAAACAACTTGTAATAACACTGCAATTCACTTTGTTGGGGTGTTGTGCTAAAATCCGACAATACTTCTCATCTCCAGCTACTTGCATTGTTTAATCTCACTTTCTCCGGTTATTTTGTTTCTTCTCAATTTCTCCTGCTATTTGTTTCTTTCTCACTTTCCCCTTGAAATTCCGAGTTTATTACAAGTTTCCATTCATTAGAATGGAGGAAAAACTTCCATTGTTCTACAGAATAACGGGCTTTCATGAGTATCAAACCAAACTTGTATGTTGTTCTATCGCTGTACAAACGGATTATATATATATATATATATATATATATATATATATATATATATATATATATATATTATAGTAATCCTCCAATATATATCTCTCCCTTACGGATTATCCCTTCCTCTGTGTTTTCTCTCCTGATCGTACAACGGACAGTCAGGAGTCTACATCCTCAGACCCACCGCCTAAGATATCCAGTTTCGCTCAGCGTAGTTACTATGAGCAGCAGAGGAACCCTCAGGATGCTCTACCGAAGCTGAGCCCTTCAAAGAAACCGGCGAGTTTTGTAATTAACCTCGGTTCGAGTAACTGACGGCGTTAGAATTACTCCAAGTCGTGTGGAAATTGCCGAAGCGGCCACAGAGATATTTTCTATTGGACAGCGGTGGCTGTTCCGCGACACTTTGTTACGAGGGGTGGTGGGAGACGCTTGAGGTGATGGAACATTTGTGGCAAACCCGGCTGGCCGGGGAGCTTTTGTTCACGCCGTGGCTGATACGAAGTGTGGACTTGCCATCCGATAAGGTGGAGTTGGAGAATCAGGTCAAGACCCATGTTTTATCAGAGAGTCAGGGACGGTGAGTTAGTTAAAAAACTCTGGAAGAAGTTGACAGAAGTAATGGGGGAGGCAAATGCCGTGTGGGTTCAGCTTCAAAAGCCGAAATCTTTAGGTGCTGCGAGTGATCTGTTGAAGATGAAACAGACTTTGTTGGCCGAGCTGGAGTTGATAAGCTAAAGGACCAAGGAGTTCAGGCATGAAATAAGGTGTGTGAAGTCTCATCTTAAGCTGCCATGCCCAGAGGATATCGATGACTCTGAGGAGAGTCTGAGTGTGTTGAAGCTCGAGGGAAATTTCAATTGGGACCGCTTACATTATCTAATGATGAGGGTGTGTAAAAGGCTCCAAGATGGATTGCCCATTTTCCCGAACCAGTCTCTCCGGTCAATATAGTGACCTGCAATTGCTAAACAAAATATATCATTCCAATTGTACGGAACAATGTTTTAACTGAACATTAAGAACTACACACTACATGTCAAACACGGGAAGATTTGGAGATTCACTGAGAATCTATGTCGACACAATAGTAAATCTTTTCTAAAACTGCTAACTTTATTATGAGGGAGAAAAGAAAAAAGAAAGGAAAAGGATGGGACAAGCAGCAAGATTCTAGAAAACCAGAGGTTGGGTATAGAAACTTAGAAAGCATAGTAAATAATCAGTGGATTAATGGAAACACAAGAACTAATCCTCCTCTAAATTAGTAAATAATCAAAATCGTACCCTTCAATATATTGCTAAAATGGTGTAAATTTTTTAAAGCAGTGAACATAAAATTAGGCGAGAGAAACAAGCAATTACCCGGTGACGCCGAATTTCCCTGAGAATTTGATGGCGGAAAGAGAAAATGGGCAACCCACCTTGGAGCTTTTTACACTTGCTCATCATTAGATAATGTAAGCAGTCCCAATTGAAATTTTCCTCGAGCTTCAACACACACAGACTCTCCTCAGAGTCATGGATATCCTCTGGACATGCAGCTTAAGATGAGACTCCACAAACCTTATTTCATGCCTGAACTCCTTGGTCATTTCGCTTATCAACTCTAGCTCGCCCAATAAAGCCTCTTTCGTCTTCAACAGATCACTCACAGCACCTAAAGATTTTGGCTTTCGAAGCTGAACCCACACGACATTTGCCTCCCGGTACTTCTGTCAACTTCTTCCGGGAGTTTTTAACTAACTCACCATCTATTAACTCTGATAAAACACCGTCTTGACCCGATTCTCCAACTCCACCTTGTCGGATGGCAAGTCCACCTTCCCTATCAGCCACGGCGCGAACAAAAGCTCCCCGGACAGCCGGGTTCGCCACAAATGCTCCATCACTTCAAGCGTCTCCCACCACTGCTCGTAACAGAGTGTCGCGGCACAGCCACCGCTGTCGCACAAAGAATATCTCTATGGCCGCTTCGGCAATTTTCACACGACTTGGAGTAATTCTAACGCCGTCAGTGTCTGATTATTTGAACCGAGGTTAATTACAAAACTCGCCGGCTTCTTTGAAGGGCTCAGCTCCAGTAGAGCATCCTGATGAGGCCTCCTCTGCTGCTCATAGTAACTACCCGGAGCGAAACTGGACATCTTAGGCTGTGGGTCTGAGGATGTTGACTCCTGACTGTCCGTTGTACGATTAGGAGAGAAAACAAAGAGGAAGGGGTAATCCGTAAGAGAGATATATTGAAGGATTTCTATATAATATAATATATATATATATATATATATATATATATATATATATATATATAATCAGTTTGTACGGAGATAGAACATCATACAAGTTTGGTTTGATACTCATGAAAGCCTATTATTCTCTAAAACAGTGGAAGTTTTTCCTTCATTCTAATGAGTGAAAACTTGTAATAAACTCAGAATTTCAAGGGGAAAGTGAGAAGAAACAGATAGCCGGAGAAAGTGAGAAGAAACAAATAGCCAGAGAAAGTGAGATTAAACAATGCAAGTAGGTGCAGATGAGAGGTATTGTAGGATTTGAGCACAACACACAACAACGTGAATTGCAGTGTTATTACAAGTTGTTTGTAGTAGGGAGATCAGGTATTCAAATAAATGTGAATATTTGAGGTAAAAAAAGAAAATGTTGAATAGGAATGAATAAGAAAAGTAAATACTGTCTCTCTGGTCGGAATGACCAGCTTCTCCTTCTTGTTGCATTAATGCCGGCTATCCTTAATTTGATTAAGGCTCACCTATCCTCCCTTTATTTTCATTTACTGCTTCTCACCAAACCCATCAACAACCTTGGATGCTTTAATGCATTTTAGTGTGTCCTTTATCTTACTGGGTACTTACAAGAAGACCGACACAAGTCAGCTAGATAGACATTGGCCGACCATGTTGGAAACTACATCACCAATGCTGGAAAAGCCCTTCGGACCTGACTTGAGAGCCTCGGGAAAGAGACAAATGCCGGTAACGGGCCAAAAGTGGATTCTGTTGGAACGGAGGAGGAAAAATGCTGAGAAGGAAAGTGGCAGAACCACAGCCAACCATGCAGAACGTCAATTTCAATTTTTATCAGAGAATAAAGAAATGGAGGAAGAGAAATGGAGGAAGAGACACCTGTCCAGGATATTAATGGCATTGATGGACAAGCTGACATCTATAATACGGAGCATTTAATGGAAGAGGGAAGGTCTTTACACAATGATTTGGAGGTTGGAATCCAATTCACATTTACACAACAATCCAAAATATGTTTGGAATTTACTACAGGTGAAGTAGGGCTTAGTGGAATTCAGCCCAATACTTTAGGCCCACATCGTATGGACTACGAGCAGAGAAGGAAAAGGAAAGATATTGATGGCCCAAAAAGGAATTTGGATCAGGACAACATAGCGGTGGATATCTCAAAAAACTTGTTGGAGGCGGGCTCATAATGTGTATTATATCATGCAACTGTCGCGGGCTTGGCAACCAGGCGACGGTTCAAGTCTTTTTGGACCTAATCCAATCTAAGAGGCCTTTTACTTTATTTTTTATGGAAACAAAGTTGGGCTCACAAGGTATGGAAACAATAAGGGTCAAGTTGGGCTTTGACAATGTTTTTGTGGTCAACAATAATGGTTCTAGTAGAGGGTTGGGCCTCTTCTGGAAAAATGAAGTGGATTTCTCTATTGCTAGCTGTAATCAGAATTTTATTGATAGAAAATTGGCGTAAACAATTCTCCTCACCTCTGGAGATTCACGGGCTTTTATGGCTGTCCGGAGAGAAATCGCAGGCGTGTTTCATGGGATATGCTCAAGAGTTTATCAAGACAAAGTGACTTACCTTGGATTGTTATGGGAGATTTCAACGATATCTTGCACCCACACGAGAAAATCGGAAATCACCCTCAACCTCCGTGGCTAATTCAAGGCTTCAAAGATGTAGTGGAGGACAGCGGTCTAAGGAACTTGGATTTCAAGGGATACCAATTTACATGGGAAAAGGGAAGAGGAATCCCTAATTGGGTTCGTGAGAAGCTTGATCGTATTCTTGTCAACAACGCATGGTTAGAATTATTCGGAGAGGTCAAAGCTACTTCCTTCGAAGCCCCTATGACTCTATGAGCGATCACCTCCCGATAGTCGTCTGGCCGATTCCGTCAATTCAGGTCAGAAAGAGAAAGAAGTTTCGCTTTGAGAATTATTGGTTGAAGGAGCAACAATGCAAAACCTTAGTTGATTTGAGCTGGAAAAAATCTGAGGGTTACAACATCTGCGCTAGGTTTGAGGCTTGCAGCATGGCAATATGGAAATGGGTAAAGGACTATAACGGGAATTTCCACCACAAGCTTGAAGCGGCTAGAAAAAGTATGGAAATTTTGAGAAATAGAATTGATGATAATGGTCTGCATGATTTCGAAAATGTCCAGAGAAACTTCATTCATCTCTTACAACAGCAGGACAGTTTCTGGCGGCAGAGGGCAAAATTGTTTTGGTACAAAGGTGGAGACTCCAATTCTAAATATTTCCACAACATGATCACCGAAAGACAGAGAAACAATGCTTTATCCAAGCTTCATAACTTGAGGGGAGACTAGGTGTCACAGGGTCTAGAGATGCACAATCTTATTAAAGAGTATTTCATCAATCTATTTACCAGTACTGCAGGGGATCAAACTCCAGTTTTACAGTGCCTCACTCCAAAGGTTACGGCTGCCCAGAATGATGAGCTGATGCATCCCGATAAAAGTCCAAGCTAAGTATCAATGACTTTAACCCTGACTTTTTTCACACCTATTGGGATATTGTGGGAGATAAGTATTGTGCAATTATGTAATGATTTCTTGAGTTCTTGACAACTTCCGAAAATTTTGAACCAAACTCATATTGTTTTAATCCCCCAAAAATTGAACCCTGAAACCATGGCTACCCATTGCACTATGCAATGTGGCCTACAAAATTGTTACTAAAGCTATTGCCAACAGACTCAAACCAATTCTGCATCATTTGATCTCTGAAAACCAAAGTGCCTTTGTGTCGGGAAGACTCACCACCGATAATATCATGGTGGCTTTTGTGATGCACCATTTTCTGAAAAGGAAAACCCAATGGAAGGTGGGTTATGCCGCTCTAAAACTCGATATGAGTAAGGCATATGATAGGGTTGAATGGCCTCTTATGCGTGCTATCATGATTAAACTTGGTTTTGCTGAAAAATGGGTCAATATTGTTAAGTCATTTTGGACGTGGGAATTCTTGATGCCATTTGGACTAGGAGTGCCAAAATCTGTGAACAAGAAAAAGTTAACAGGAATTATATTCAAATTTCAAAATTGCACGGGTACAAGATCTCTATCAAAATCCTCTGATTCTCCACTTAGTTGACTTGACTTGAAACTTTGGCTGAAGGGCCTCCGGAATGCAGCTTGTTCTTCAAAGAAGGACTTTGTTGCTTCCAGAATGCAGCTTGTTCTTTAAAGAAGGGCTTTAATTTGTTGCTTCCGGAATGCAACTTGTTCTTCAAAGAAGGGCTTTAATTTGTTGCTTCCGGAATGCAACTTGTTCTTCAAAGAAGGACTTTGTTGCTTGATCTTCGTAGCTTGTTCTTCAAAGAAGGATTTTGTTGCTTGATCTTCGTTGAAGGGTCTTCTGTCTTTAATTGGCTTGATCGATCTTTAATCCACTTAGCTTAGTTTGAATGGTTGAAATATTTGATTAAAATCCATTTAGTTTCGTTTGATCTTCAATCCTTTAGCTTGGCTTGATCTTCTCTTCAATTCTTCAAGTGTGTTCTTTGGAATGAATGAAGAGCTCTATTTATAAGGGAGAATATGTAAGACTTTCATTAGAACCCAAACTCTTCAATATTATCTTTATATTATCAATTTATATTTTAGGATAATATGAATATTTATCCACAATGTATCTAGTCACCATTGCATCCAGGTTCATAACCTTATCATATATTCAAATTAAATAATTAATTAATTTAAATATATGAATATCTTATCATATATTCAAATTAAATAATTAATAACTTTAAATATTTTCTTGTTGGGCCAAATATGGATCAGTCCATCACTATAATCTGAGTCAACTAGTCTTCAATTTATATTTAATTAGGACAATTGGACCAATTTAATTCATCCAAATAAATCAATAATTAGCTCAATTTCATCAAATGAAGCGCAAAACATATGAATCAGCCCATTTGTCGGCTTCAAATTTTCAGTGTCTACAGACACACTGGACACTAATTTCACTAAATTGCTAATGATTAAAAATGTTAATGATACTCATATCAATTCAAAAATGCAAATACATAATGATATATATATATTCGGGGAATCGGGAACGGGTCAGGGTTCAGGGCGGGGAATGTCTTCCTCGTCTCCGTCCCCGTCCCCATCGGGGCGGGGATCAATTTTTCCCGTTAGGGTCGGATTAAATTGTTAGTCCTATATTACATGGACCATGATCCACACAACTGTGTGAACTATAAAAAAAAAATACATTTTTAATATACTAAAAGTAAATTATTTGTGTACGTAAAGTACATTTTTTGAAAAGTATATTCTTTGAGTACTGAAAGTACATTATTTTATATATACTATCAAATAATGTACATTTAGTAAACAAATAATGTACTTTTAATATATTAAAAATGAACATGATATTCATGGTTAATACACCTATGTGGACCACAGTCCACACAATAATTTGCCATTTCTACAGGAAAATTATTGTGTAGACCATGGTCCACACAGTGCTGTGTGAACCACTATAAAAAGTACAGAGTACATTTTTAATATACTAAAAGTACATTATTCGTGTATTGAATGTATATTACACAAAATAATGTACATTCAGTACTCAAATAAAATTTTTTTTCTTGAATACAATGTATATTATTAATATATTAATTAAAGTACATTATTTGTTTACTGATTGTACATTATTTAAAAGTATAGTTCACACAGTTATGTAAACCATGGTCACAAAATAATGATTGATTTGTACTTGTTAGATTTTATTATACGGAGTATCAACTATTATTTCAACATAATAATATTGCAAAGACGTACTTTCAAGAATAGAATTAATATATTTCTTTCTTATATAGAGAATAAAATATACTCCGTATAAAATATTACTTAACATTTTGGTTAAAAGCAATACTACAAATTCCTTTATGTATTTCTCCCACAAATTTTCTTTTTGAGTGTCATCATGTGATTGGTAGCCAAATTTATTTATTAATTAGTGACGGGTTAGCAATTCATTTGGCACTCAATGAATGAAAGCTACATCATGAGGAGAAAGTCAAGAGATAAAAATTAGGAGGGTAAAAAAGCAATTTTCTTACTTAAAATGTAATGATATATATATTATATGAGTTCAAATCTCTACACTATAACACTATTATAAAATGAAACATGATCTTAAATTTCAATTACTATAACTTTTAGCAATTTATATCGTGGATTAGGGTTTACATAACATTCTGAACAATTGATCAAAATGACGTTGTTTTGATATTTAAGTTTTAATCAACTATGTAGTTTTCCGTTTTTTATGTTTCAACACAAATTTTAATTTATTCCAGATACAGAATTTAATAACGCGAGACATAGAAACTCACAACACATGTTATATAATTACTTATTCTTAAATATGATTTATGTAGATAATATATGTCCTATAGGCACACAATTTCATAACAGAGACATAAATTCGTAAAATTAGACACACAATATATTGTGGGTTACACAACTATTAATATATTTTGATTAGGTACAGAATTTGTACGCTTAAGGTACAAAATTACATAACATGAGACACGAAAATGCTTAACACAAGACACATACATATGTTTTATATTTACTTTAGTTCATGTACAAATCAATATTGTTAAGGTACAACATTGCAGAACATAAGACACAAAAACGCATAATAGAAGACACGAAAACGCATAGCACAAGACACAAAAACGCATGTTATATTTACTTTATTTTAGGTACAGAATTCATACGCTTAAAGTACAGAATTACATAACATGAGACACATACACATACACATACACATGCTTTGCAGTTAAAAAACTGTAACGTGAATTGAATAACAAACGATCGCCGTCAAAACTATAATTCAAAACTATGTCGTTTAGAACCAGAGTTTACAATGCATCGTGAACCCTTATACAACAATTGATAAGTTTTGGGTTTTCCAAGAAATGGTAAACAATTACAAAAAAGTAAACAATTGTTGTATTGCAGGTTTGAAAGCCTTTTGCTCGTGAAGAATGAAGAACAATAAGAACAACAGTAAGAAGACAATGAAGAACAGAGAAAAGGATTCTTATTATTTTATTCAAGTTCTCTGTACAGCATTACATCATATATATAACAGCTATTCTAGAATCATACCATAAATAACAAGCTGTTACAAATCAAATCATTAATGCTAGAATAATGTCCATAATTAGATTTTACAACACTCCCCCTTGGACATTATTTTCCATAATCATGCCTCGTTAAAAACTCGCTAGAAAAACCCTGTGGGAAAAACCTAGTCGAGAAAAGAGTACATGATGTATGGATAATCATGTGTTGCATTAGTTGCCTCATTAAAAACCTTACACTAAGAAAAACCCAGTGGGAAAAATAACTTAGTTAAGGTAAAAAGAGTACAACTATAACCTTCTGGGTTTAATCTTCAGGATTCGCAAGAGTTGTTGGTCTTCTAGACCGATAATTTATGTGCACCGAGATGTTGTTGCTCCCCCTGAAGACAACAATCTTTCTAACCTACGCATACCGATTTTGTAAACATATTTCTCAAAGGTAGAAGTAGGTAAGGACTTGGTAAATAAATCTGCTAGATTTTCGCTTGATTGAATCTTTTGAACTTGTATGTCACCACTCTTCTGGAGCTCATGTGGATAAAAGAACTTTGGTGCAATATGTTTAGTGAGATTACCTTTAACATATCCATTACTCATTTGTGCAACACATGCTGCATTGTCCTCATAAAGGACGGTGGGGGTCTTTCTAATACTCATTATTCCACACGAGTCTTGAATATTATGTATTAGTGACCTCAACCATACAGATTCTTTTGAGGCCTCGTATAAAGCAATGATTTCAGAGTGGTTAGATGAGGTAGCTACTAGTGTCTGTTTAACTGATTTCCATGAGATAGCAGTACCTCCATATAGGAATACAAATCCAGTCTGAGATCTAGCATTATGCGGATCAGACATAAAACCAGCATCCGCATATCCCACTAATGTGGTGTCTTGGTTTCTTTTAAATAGAAGCCCAAGATCCTTTGTACCTTGTAAATATCTGAGGATATGTTTTATGCCATTCCAATGCCTTCTGGTTGGAGCAGCACTAAAACGAGCTAGCATGTTTACTGAAAAGCAATATCAGGTCTAGTGTTGTTGGCAAGATATAAAAGTGCTCCAATGGCACTTAAGTAGGGAACTTCTGGTCCTAGAATATCCTCATTATCCTCTTTAGGTCTGTACGGGTCCTTATCAACTTCAAGTGATCGGACTACCATTGGAGTACTAAGTGGATGTGACTTATCCATG